ATATATCTCAGGTGATTCAATTAAAAACACAAATGAAAAATAAATTTAAAAAACCTATAATCCAGGGAAGTTGGTATGATAATAATACAAACTTCTACAAATTAAGAGTCTTCTGTGTAAAGACTATCATAATTTTGTCGCAACTCGTGAGACAGGACCTATTATGCCACTTTTACCACTCAGACCAACAAGCTCAGATGGCAGTAAATGAGTAGGACTAGAGATTTCTAGCAGCTAGAAAAAAAAGCCCTTTGACCACATTGCCTGTACTTCAGAAGTAATGAGAAAACTGGATGCGCTTTAAAATTAATAAATCTAATTAATAATTAAAATGAAACTTTTAAATTAAAATTAAGAGTGAACATGAACATGCTGCCTTGCTAAGCTGTGCATTTTCCTTCCTGGAGGATACCATACCAAGCCCAGGGGCCTTCTGGGAGATGCATCCAAAGCTGGTTCTAAGATTGACATTAAATGTCTTAGTATCTTTTCTTTCTCATCAAAGAGGAAAATGCCAATGACAATATAAAAATAGTGCTCAATTACAAAGTGACATATTATTAGTGAATAGATGTATTCTATTTCTTCCCAAGCAATTCAAATGTTCCCTAGAAGCCTCAAATAAAACTTACTTTACATTTACCTTCATCATTTCAAATTTAAGCTATTATCCATCAGAAAAAGACTCACCAATGACAGGGCAAGGATGAAATTCAGAAACAATAAGTGTCTGGAGATCTAGAGGTTAGATTTTGATGAAGAAAATCCACTCAGTTTGGATCATTATTTATCTCAGGATTGAAACAGTAACTGTAATTGTATTCTTTGAACACCAAGCCCCTCCACCCCCTCCCCACTCCCACCCAGTAGTTAATTAGCTGGGCAGGTCTTATAACAAATGCCTACTCAGAAACACTGGGTGGTAGAAAGGGCTGGTGATCATTAAAGGCCACAATAGCTTGGAGTCGCAGAGTGGTCTTGCCCCAGCCGGACTGCGCCCCACATACTCACAGACCCTCTATTGTACACTGAAGGGGTAGTTGGCTTGGCTGGAGAAGGGAGCAACTCCAGTAAGGGAGAAAAAGCCAAACCCTGCAAACAAATCAGGAGTTCTGGGCTCAGACAGAGAATATCCAGAGTGTGGAAGAGAAAAAAAAAAAAGATTCAAGAATAAGGAATAAGAGACGTGGATGGGCTGAAAAATTAGTCATAAAAGAGACATTTTCTGATTTCTTTGTCCAAACCATCATTATGACTTTAGCAATCTCGTGCCAAATAGATAGCAATTAGAAAAATTGCCAAATGTAATTAACTAATAGGCTGGCCCATTTGGATTAGAGGGACTTCACTGAGTAATTTAGGATTTTAAAGAAAGTCTTGGATAATCATTCCCCCTCCCTGGGTCATTTCTCCCTCTTTAAAGAAGGGGTTGAAAAAAGCTTCTCACCAGGAGATAAAAACAGGAGAAATGGGTTCCTGGAATAATTTCTAAGGCATCAAACAGCCAAAACCTAGAATTCATTATTTAAGATAAAGCTAAAAGTCTAATATCATTATCACATGTGCTTTGCTTGTGCTTAAAATATACTAACCCAGTTTGTTAAGTTGATTATCTCATACTGAACAGATGCTTCTATTGCTAGTTATGTAGGTAATTAATAATAGGGAGAAAAAATGATTGCTTTATAAGTCAGCTGATTTGGTAGTTAATAAAGTCTTTCAAAAGACAGTTTTTTATTAAACTCATAAAAATCCATAGGAAAAAATAGTAAAAGGTGTGCTTGGCGAAATGGTTGGGAACCCTTTCTTTCCAAATCCGACAGGGAATCACCTCTAACAACGGAGGCAAGTGATTTCTCGAGACACCTGGGAACTAAACATGGAAAAAAGGCGGGGGAGGGGGCCAAAGTTTCTAGAAAGTTTCTTTTTAAAAATGGTTTGATTTGGAGGGGGAAAATTCCGTGTTTCTTCATAGTAGAAGTGTTCATTTGAATTTCTAAATACTGTGCTTTCACCAAAATCCTCATGGAAAGTTGGTTATCATTGGAAGATGCCCCTAGTTATTCTACCACTTCTAACATGCTCTTGCATCAGTCTGACACTTTCACCATATTATGTGGTAGGTCAGGCATCCCCGTTTGAGAAGGAAGGGTTTTTAGATGCCCTTAGAAAAATCCACCTGGCTATAAAATTCTCTGGCTCTTGCCTGTTGGTCTGTGAATGAGCACAGCACCTTATGTTAAAGATGTAAAATCCCTGTACTCCTACAATTCAAACAGCATCAAGTCTGCAGCCTCAGAAAGCCTAGAAACAAAATGTGTTGTACAAGGGAAAGAAGGAAAATTTCCATGGCGAGCCAAGCCTAGCTCAAGAGAAGCTGTCCATCTGAAATGCCACCTGGAATTCACACCAGTAATAACTGTTGTGGATATAAAAATTAATAGGGGGGATTTCATAGTATTAGAAAAATTTATTTTTATAAATCATGTGTCTATCACCCAAGTGTTGACGCATGCATGCAATTCAAACATCAGGCTTACAATAAAAGCTCACTGAATGACTTAGCAAAGACAATCCCCCCATTTTCTCTATAATTTGGAGGGGGGAAGGAGGGGGAAAGTGGGTAGAGGGTGCAGTTACTGGGTCAATTAATCAACCTGAAAACTGTGACACAAACTCTGACGCCTAACCTATGTCTAAAAATACACAAATGTATACGAATTTGTTTTAAACTGTCAATGCCTATATTTAGGACCTTCCCAGCAAGGCTATAATGAGACTGTGTTTGAGGGTTTCAGTCTTAGCAGACTCTACCATTAATCTGAAGTTAGTTAAATTAACAGCATTTAGTACTGACTTGTCAATCTCACGACTCCAGGAAATTGCACCTTGAGGCTACTAATATTGCCAATTTTTCCACTGAGTATGTGCCCATGTGTGTGTATGTGTATTTTTTCTCCCCAGAACCTCAGTGTTCATACACCATCATTGCTCCCTATGTCCACAGCACTTATATTATCATTTATTCTGGCCTCCTTTAGCCTTCCCAGGGGATTCTGCATAGTGTAGCTGCTCAGTGAAAGAGTTTTTTAGCTTTATATTTATTTGTTTATTTTTCTGTCATGGCTCATGACTGAGGCTTTAAAAAAAAGTGTGACAGTATTTAGAGTACATGATTGACTGCTATAGCAACATTCATTAACCATGACAAATCTACAGCAAAACACAGTCCTGAGTGTTCTAAACAGCAACTTTAAAAAGAAAGAAGAAATAAAGAAAAAAGAAAAAAGGACTCTACTAATTTTTCATTGACCTCATTTATTAATAAATTTAGACTGATGGTAAGCAGGAGCAATAATAAATTAGTATTCATTTCCTATAATTAATGCAAACATGCCTATGAACACAAGAATATGAATATATAACCACCTAATTTCCATTTCAAAATACACCTAACAAATTTTCACTTGAGTTATCTTCATAGTATTTTCTCCTGAGGTAGAAGAATAAAATGGTTAGATTTCTTTCCTACCCACCAGGGGGGAATAGGGTTTTGGTCACAGGGGGTGTCAAACCTGTATCAGTAACAGGATTCGATCATGATCTGTCCCATTATTTGCTACTCCCTTTGCATGCCCATGCTAAGACTGTCTTCTCTGTGTGCTAATTAGGAAGGTCTCCTCAGAGGTTTTCAAGTGACCAAGTGGATAGACCCTGCCATGCATAAGAGCCAAGAAGAGACCACAAGAGGCGAGAAGTGAACTGTGCTAGCACTGACATTTCACTATTTCTGCTCACACAAGGAAACATATGAATTAAAGAACTATCGGGCTTTTCAACTTCTTTTGACAAAGGAACTCTGATAGAACTTGCTCTTTGTATATGGATCCCTCTGGGAGACCATTTTCTACAAGCAGACCACAACCAAAGATTAAACTGATCAAAGATCAATGTCTGATCAAGTCATGCAGTCATCTAAATCTCATAAACTCTCCAGGGGCGGCAGATAGTGAAACAGTGAATAGTATATGCAAAATGGTGAGACAATTTTCAGTAAACAAATTGATTAGTGAGAATATAAATATGCATTAGACAAACATATAAAATATAAGTCTATCTCTGAGCAAGGCAGAATGTGATAAGACCAGAAAATTTGAATAAGGTTCTACCCCCCAAAAAAGCTAAATGGAATGAGAGAAATATTAAAGGGGTGTTAAAGCACTTGCCTTGCACATGGACAACCCAAGTTTGGTCTCCAGCACCACATATGTCCCCTAGGCACTCTCAGGAGTGATACTTGAGCACAGAGTCTGGAATATCCCTGAGCACTATTGGGTATGGTCCAAAAACAAACACAGAAAGACTAAACAACTTTAGCAGAATGCAACTTGCCTTAAGATGACTTTTTCTAAGGCCTCTGATCCACTAGAACTTTTGTCCCTAAGAGTTTGTTTGCCCCTCTGATGATCATGGAAACAACTGTGTGCAACGTGGATTACAAGTGGTCCTCATGGCCACTTCACAGTAAAATTCTAATTAACTGTGCTAAACAGCTATTTGGGGGTACGAAGAGGGCCAGAATATAATGGGAATATATTACAGGGATTGATTTACCCTTTAGTTTGCTTCTAAATGGCACTAGAGTAGTTAGACCTTATCATCATATGATAGTTAATAACAAACATAAGTTCTATGTTTCCAGACATTTTCATATTCTTTTAAAATTTATTTATTTGGTCTTGGGCCAGAGATCGAGTGATGTTCAGAATTACTCTTGGCTCTGCACTCAAGAATTACTCCTGGCGGTGCTCAGAGAACCATATGGGATACCAGGGATCAAACCCAGGTTTGCCACATGCAAAGCAAGTGCCCTACACACTGTACTATCTTTCCAGCCCTTTCCCAGATATTAAAAAATGTGCTAGCCTTCCAGAGATCCTACTAGTGAAGAAACATTTCTCCAGAAAGTAAGAGGAGTCAGACCATTTCTTTGTCTTCAGTTGTCAGCCTGGAGAGTCGAGCAATGCACCTCAACACTCTGGTGCAGGAAGCCCAGGAGCGGGTGAGTGAACTCTCTGCTCAGGTGGAGAATGAAGGATTCAGTCTGGACAACACAGAGAAAGAGAAACAGCTGAGAGCTTGGGAATGGAGGTATCGGCTCTACAGACGTATGAAAACGGGCTTCGAACATGCCAGTGAGTACGCGCTTTGACATTTCACTAGACCAGATCGTGGTTTGAGACTGCCAGACCTTCAGTTAGTGAGTTTTTGCAACTCCACAGAGTGGAGTGGATGGCCCTTGTCAGCTTATTTGGAACAAGGGCTCTGGGAGGCTGTAAAAGGATCTTTTGTCTTGCTTGATTTTCTGGCTCTTGATGGGTTCTCTGACCACAGCCATGAGGCTTCAGTGCTGCTGGCCCCTCTCCACCATGTCACACTCATCTAGCACTTTCCACCCGCTACGCCCTAATGCCTAATGATCTGGATGGTCTGATGCCCTAAGTGGCTATATTTTGGGATGTGGAGGTGGAAAAATATTTGTTTGCCTATTTGTCCGGTTCTGCTTCAAGCTCGTTTAAGTTGTTTTCAACTCTCTGCTGAATTTTTTTAATATAGAGTTTATATAAACTGACCTTCAGTTCTTTCGGGTAACAGAAAAGGATGGTCAGACTCTCCATGAATTATGCTTTGTCTACACTTCCATTTTCCTGACCATTTATTTTTGTTACTTTTAGAAAGACTGAATAAGCTGGATAAATGCATTGACACTGAGAGACACTACTTAATACAGCTTCTGATATATATATATACACATATATATACACATAGAGATGCATACATATGTATATATATATTAAACACTTGTGAAATATTAAACTTTTATTATTATTTTATTTAGATCTTATCTAAATGGGAACCAAAACAATTGTACTTGACATTTTAGATATAAAGGAAAGGTCAGTTCATTAGTTTTGTCTCTGCTCCTGGAATACAGTGGGTGATAAAGACAAAAAGTGAAGGCAGTGCTATGCACTAAGGTAGTGCTATGCACTAAGTATCAAATCTGCAATTAATTCTTTCTCTTTCAACAAATACTTTAGTGCAATCTAAATGAGAGTTTGATTTAAATATTAATCATCTCAAGCTGATATGTGTCTCTTTTCAAAGGCATTCAGCAATTGCTTGAATAAATACGCTGGCTATTGTGCCTCATTTATGAAATATTAATATTAGAAGTAATCATATTTTTTACTTGATACCATTGGGGATAATTTTTAAATTGTAAAACACCTCCTGGGCTCTTAGGAATGTCCTAAACCATCAGAGTCTTTTAAAACCTGAGGTTAGTAAGTATGGCATTTGCCCATGAATTCTTTCTTGGAAGTATACTATTTGATGTAACAGGAATCATCACAAATACAAGGCCAGTTAGCATTCTAGACTAGAAGGAGTTCAGAACCAGGCCTCCAAAGCCATGGGCTTTCATCCTTACTGAGTCTTTACTGTGTCCTTGAACAAGTAATTTAGTCTCTATTGGTTGCAGTTTTCTTATCTTCAAAATGGTTTTACTTTCATTTTTCACACAACAGGGATGTAATTGTCTCCATGCAATGACATATATGAAAGAACTTCATTAACTATAACAGTCTCCACTGACAACCTCAGTCCCTGCTAATATTTCCTGGCCCCCTCTTCACTGGTCCAGCCCAATCCCCAATTGTGTTTCCAGGATACATTGGAAAAGCTTACTGGTATTATTTACCCCTTCATCAGATGTCCTAATGTTCAAATAAAACCATGATGGCAACAAATAAAGGTCAATGAGATTTCTAATGAAAATGTTCAAAAGCAAAAGCTATTAGGCTCTACAAACAAATGTTTCCATAGTGTGTGTTTCAGGGTACCCTTTGAAGAGGCAGAAACATTGTTTAACAGGATTTGCTAAGTTAAGATCCTGTGTTTTCCCTTGTGTCCCAGGAGCCCCCGAGGTGCCAACCAATGCCTGTCTCATGGTAACCAGCAGCACGGCGCTCACTGTCAGCTTTCAAGAGCCTCTTAGTGTCAACGCAGCTGTAGTAACCAGATATAAAGGTACTGGATGCAAAATAGTTTTTCATTGTTTCTTCTTTAAAAAAAAAGAAAGAAAGAAATCTATGTTGTTTGGGGAATCGATTGTGCATTTGATCTGTTTGTTTTTCCCGCTGATGGTATTTTTTTCCGTTCCATATACTTTTGAAGTTGAAATATTACCATAGCCCTACATGAAAGGAGCATAAGGTGATTGAGAATAAGTTACACACAAAAAAGGATGAACTGGGGCTGGAGTGATAGCACAACGGGTAGGGCCTTGCACAGGACTGACCTGGCTTTCATTCCCAGCATCCCATATGGTCCCCCGAGCCCAACAGGAGTAATTCCTGAGTGCAGAGCCTGGAATAAAACCCCTGTACATCGCCGTTGTGACTCAAAAAAAAAAAAAAAAAAAAAAGGATGAACCTCCAGACAGGGCTGTCATTCCTAGCCCTTCAGCTAATAGTAATGTAAATAAAAGAGGTTTTGGTAAAATTACTGTCACTGTCACTGTCCTCCCATTATTCATAGATTTGTTCGAGTGGACCCAGTAACATCTCCCAGTAACATCTTGTTACTGTGTTTGGCATATAGAATACGTCACGGGTAGCTTGCCAGGCGAGATGCTCTCGGTAGCTTGCCGGGCTCTCGGAGAGGGGTGGGAGAATCAAACCCGGCTAGCTGGGCTGTCTGCACGCAAGGCAAAAGCCCTACTACTGCGCTATCGCTCCAGCCCTTGGTAAAATTAAAAAAGAAATAATAGTAATGCCCCATTCCTGTTTGCAGAGGGTCTGCTTTGTGTGTATCTCAGGGTTAGGTACAGGACTGAAAAGGGCACCCTTAAGAAGCAGCATTGATTCAATGAACTCGGAGGCTGGAATACTGGGACATACTCAAATGGGAGGCAAAAATGGGCCAGAGTTGTCGCTTATTGGTAAAGTATGTGCCTTGCATGCATAAGACCTGGGTTTAATCCCTGGCACCATAAAATAAGATTCATATAAAAGCATTAGAATGTGAGAATTGATCTATAGAACTGAGCTTGCCACAGTAGGGGAAGAGGGTTGGAAAGTGAAGGGACATGGGGGAAGCAGGAAGTGGACACCCTGGTGGAAAATGTGCTGTTGGAACTGGAACGTTGTATGCATGAAGCCCTCTCACTAACAGTAATATAAATCATATGCCTTGATTTTTTTTTACCAAAAAAAGTTTTGCAAAAGTTTTACAAAAATTAATAGGGGCCATATAAGTTAATAGCTATTTACAACAATAACTAGGGCTAGGTATTTTCTTAGAAGAACGATAAAGTGCATTGGCAAGCAGAAAAGATAAAGGGTTGATGAAATGACAGGATCAGAAAGACTCCAGGGTGAAAGTGGAATTTGGGCCTGTGTTCCAAGATTTGTTAGGATTCGAACCAGGATGTATTGTGGAGGAAAGAAAAACCCAAATGGAGAGTACAGTGAGTGCAGTAAGAAAGCAAGAGCATGTTGGAACAATAGCGAAGACTGTGGAAGCATGTGGAATTAATGGGGCTCCAAGAGAGGTCTCAGAAGACAAAATTCAAGCATACAGCAATGATCAGAAGAAAAGGGTGGAATAAGGCTTCGAATCATGTTAAGGAGTTTTGATTCTATTTGGTGAACTCTGCCAACTACGGAATCTGTGAGAGACAGTATCCTAAGTAGACTTTGGAAATAGTTAAGTACAACATTGTGTCTACTGTGTTGGGAAAGATATTGATTTCAAAGAAGGAAATCAATTATAAAGCTCTACAAGAATGATGCCCCAGTGGCCTGACCATGCTGCTTATAGCATTAGTAGGAGAGAAGAGCAAGCCCACAGAAGAAGAATACTGCAGTGATATAAGCATAATAACGGACAAGGCTAGCAAAAGATCAGCTATGTCTACATAGAAGCATTTACATGCAAGTATCTGTTTACCCCTCACAATGTTCCCACTTTGGTTTTGGTTTTGATTTTCTTTTACTGTTCCCACTTTGTAGACAATATAATGGAGGCAATTAAGTTAAGGGACTTCCATATAGGTTCACAGAAGACCCACAAAAGCATCACATCTACCTGACTCTTGAGTGCGCTGGTCACTGAAGAACAAAAGCTTTTTTCCTGATTCATATGGAAATTCTCTGCACTACACAAAAGCCTGATAAAGGTCTCTCAATCTATTTCAAGATGCAAGGAAATTCTAACCAAGGCAAATTTTCTGTGCTTGGGTCACTTTTGTTCCCATAAGCCACAAAAATGCCCAAGTAGCACATGTGCTGTATTTTCCCCCCAGCATCTAAACCCGGGAGAACGTTCTAGTGTCTGCAAAGATAATTCTGCTCACACTCTGTGTAGTTTTCTGAAGAACTTGGAATTTTCCAGATAACTCCATTCTATTTCTAAGATCTTAGGTAAAACAGCAATACATTGGTTATTCATGTTGAATGTCCTGTATCAATCAGTCTAGGGTGCTACTAGCAGCAGCAGATAGATGTAACTTCCACATAGACTCTCACATCCTCTGAAACATCTTTCAATACAGCATGGGTACTTTCTCTTGGTTGTCTTATCTGCCAAGATTTCCCAAACTCTAGAGCAAGTGGGTGACATGCTGTTAGATGCAGACATTTTCCTTTCTTTCTGGCTCTCTCCATCTTGAGGTTTTGATGAAGGGTTTCATCAATGCTGCCCAATGTGACATTTTCCTCTTACATCTGATTAGTGAGCTATCGGAACTAATTTGTCCAGACTGTCAGATATTTAATACTTGACCATAATGCCAGTGAATTCTGTCAGCACTCACATATTAACATATCTCATCTCAGGAGACCTGCATTTGGGTGAGGTTGAAACAAAAGGTCACAAGTGTGTTCTGTTAGTGACTGGAGGGGATTAATTAAGCATTATAAATAGAATTGTCTGTTGCATTATGGAGTAGGTTTCCTTGGGTTAATTTATAAGGTCATAAATTGAGTCCTTAACCTGACCGCTCTTGAGGGTTATTTAAAACAGCTGGCAGCCTACTGTACCAAGAGACAGCAGGACAGTTTTAAATTCAGGATTGAAACAATTATTTAATTATGAAAATATTAGTGAAATTACCCTGGGACAGAGCTAATTATTTTGTTTCCTTTTTAAAAAGAAGAAACAGTTGAGAAATCCACTGAATAAAATGTCAGTTATCTAATTGGTTAGAGGGACGTCTAACCCTGCAGTATTTAGAGTTTGCAAAAACATCTCATTGTGCTTCAGAATTTCTGGGTTCAAGCAAAACCTCAAGCCTAGTTTGATAGTGGGAGGATTTTCCCCCACTGTCGGTGTTTGTGGGGTGGGATGGGTGGGGTGGCGGAGTAGGAGGGATGCAGGGAGCATTGGAGGTGGGGAATGGGCACTGGTGGAGGGATGGGTACTCAATCATTGTATAACTGAAACACAAGCACAGAAATTTGTAAGTCTACAACTGTACCTCCTGGTGTTTCACTAATAAAATTTTTTTAAAAGGGAAGTTTAAACTTTTGTTTAATTGTTTACATGCAACTCATCAACACATTCGTTTTTTTTTTAAAGTATTTGTTGATGTAAATAAATAAGGCTTCTTCAGGCCCTACACACCATACACAGGAACAGTTGCCTTTATGCACTGAGATTAAAGATGCCAATTTCAGCTTTAAACAGGCTACAGTTCTGAATGTGATCTCCAGGATTTTTCTGCTGGCTCCTGCCCTAACTGCTGGAAAATGGAGCTAATAGAGCCTCTTTCTCCTTGGATTCTTTCAAAGTGTTTTGTTCCTTGGGTTCAAAGAGCCCTTGCATCTTCTGGTCCTCTTGCACCCATTTTGGTGGCCTCTTGAGCATACTTAAGATCATCTTAAATGTTTTGATGCTTCTGGATAAATTCCAGAACCTGTTGCCTCTTTTCTATCAGGACATAATCTGCCTCGAGCTCTCCTTGGTGGAAAGCATGTTCTTTGCTGCAGGCCCAAAGTGGAAAACATTTTGAAAATTGATTTGCTGCTTTTTGCAGGCTTGAGGTGTGAATAAGGAGGTATCTTGTAACAGGTGTAGTGCATCATCTATTTTCCATCGCCACAATAAAATATTGGCTAGCTTCTGGGGGGAGGGGAGACAAAGTGGCCTCTCAGTGGTCATACTTTGGGGTTTTCTAATTACCAAGAGGAGTAATAGCTGGAAGTTTCTCTTATCATCTCCCTATCTCCCTTCCCACTTTCTTTCCTAATGGACTGGAAATCTTCATCACTGTTCCCCACCCTAAAGACTTGTAATAGCAATATTATCATTGTTCCTCACTTTGTGACCTTAAAAAAAAGGTAAAATTTAAAAAAAATTTATTCTTGCAGAGTTTGTGAGGGCCTCTCAGGACCTGGTAATAACTGCTGCTGCAAAGACCAGGCAGTACCCCTGTCAAGCACCACCTCCAGTTTTTTGCTGCGGTGGGGTGCAGAGGGCAGGGGGAGCAGGGGGTTTCCAGAAAGATGCTAAAGAACTTCAGAGAGAGGGGCGAAGATAGTGTAGTGGTTAGAGCACATCCCTAGCATGCACCATACCGTGGTTCAATTCCCGGCAGCAAGAATCCCTCCTAAGAATAAGCAGGGATAGCATTGTTAAGGTGGCATGGATATCCCTTGGCACTGCAGGGGCCTGAGCAGCATTGAACTATTCAGGTGGACCCTTGCATTAAACTACCAGCTCGCTTGGACAAGAAATATATATGAGCAGGGTGCACATGTCTAAAAAAAATTTTTTTTAAATAAAGGCCTATCATTTACAATAATAGTGGGAACTGCATCGTCACTTCACCCTTTGCGCCCTCTCAAGACTTAAGCCTGACTTCAAAGGCTTTGAGTACACCTCACCTAGTCAATTATGTTCTTCTTACCCCTTCTGGTTTTTATTTTCCTGTATCATTACATTGCAAAAATATCTGTCTACCAGGAAGAAAATTAGAGAGAATAATTATTTTTCATGTTTAATTAATTGAAGATTAATCTGATAAT